ATATATATATATATATATATATAAAATACATTCTGAATCTCTTTCCTTTATGTCCCCCAACACGACTTCACCCTAACAATGTGCTCTCTACCTGGTCCCCTGCAGTAGCCTCCTACTGATCCCATTCTTGCCCCCTATTTATGCTGTGTTCTTTTAAAAAATGTTTCATTATGAAATTTTTAACAATACAAAAATAAATACAATAATTTTTTTAAATCCATTTATACATCATCTGGATATGAGTTGAAAAATACCATATTTTCTTCATATATCCCAAACATCATGTTATTTCACCCTTACATGTTCAATATGTATTCCTATAAAATATATTTTCTTAAATGACTACAATGCAATCACACCTAACAAAGTTAACAATACTTCTTAACTAATTTTGAGTCCATAAATTAGATCCAAATAAAACAATTAGAACAATCTATACATTATATAAATTTGGTTCATCTTTTTGGTCTCTTCTATGGTTATTTTGCTTCTAAGAGTCTTTATATGTGGCTTTTGACTATTCTTGACCCAACAGCTACAATAAACCTTTAAAACAAAATCCTATCACCTTTCTGCTCAAAACTCTTGTCCAAGAGCTTCTCATCTCCTTGGAATAAAATCCAAATAACTTTCAGGTCCTATAAGCAAAGGGCCTGGCTGCTCCTCCCACTGTATCATCCATTGCTCGACTCACTCTCTCTTCCCTCTACTTGAGCCACAAAGCTCTTCCTGCTGTCCCACCCTCAACAGGCCAAGCACATCCCTGCCTCAGGGTGGCTGCACAAGCCATTTCTTCTGTCTATAATGCTCCTCTGCCTGGTCTCACATGTCTCATGCCTTGATTTCTATTCAGGTCTTAGGTCAGATATCACCTCCTTAAGACAGGTTCCCCTGCCCATTACCTAAAATAGCCCACCTCCCCAAAAAATCATTTTTCTGTTACCTCACTCTACTCCATCTTCCTCATTATACTTATCACTGCTTGAAAGTGGATGCCTATTTCCTCTACTGGAATATAAGCTTCAGAACACTATGTTACAGGCTCCCATGATACTACCTGGCATGCAGAAGGCCCTCCTCATTCATACCATTCATCCATAATGTTGAAGAGGTATGAATGACAGATTCAGAGGTGGCTACTAAAGGATATGCTCAGGACTCATGGGAGTAAGGTTAAATGAAAACGTCCATTTGTATACAGTGGGCTAGGATCACAAGCCCTCCACAAACTAAAGATGCCAGAGGGGGAAAAAAAACTGTGAGGAGGTTGTGGAGGGGATTTGAATATCCAATGAGGAAACAAGAAAGATCGTCACAACTTCCCTATACCAGCTCAAAGCAGCACCATCTGTCCTGCTTGTCACCTTTGGAAGTCAATTGCAGTTACAAGGTTCCAAGAGAGAAGAAAACAATCAAGCTACTGTGAGTTTGTCACTGTGGGAAAGAGGTAATTCTCTGCAAAACCAAATAAAACTAACAAGCTACCAATCACAGATGCTCCAACCTAAGGGTACAGACCAGCTAACCAAATTTCTAACATGGGCTCTCACCACCAACCTATTCAGATTTTCTCCTCAGAGGACAAATTCCTTTCTAC